CTGTTCTCTACTAAAAAATATACAAAATTAGCTGGATGTGGTGGCATATGCCTGTAATTCCAGCTACTTGGGAGGCTAAGGCAGGAGAATTGCTTGAATCCGGGAGGCACAGGTTACAGTGAGTTTTTGTTTTGTTTTGTTTTGTTTTTTTGAGACGGAGTCTCGCTCTGTCACCCAGGCTGGAGTGCAGTGGCCAGATCTCAGCTCACTGCAAGCTCCGCCTCCCGGGTTCCCGCCATTCTCCTGCCTCAGCCTCCCGAGTAGCTGGGACCACAGGCGCCGCCACCTCGCCCGGCTAATTTTTTGTGTTTTTAGTAGAGACGGGGTTTCGCCGTGTTAGCCAGGATGGTCTCGATCTCCTGACCTTGTGATCCGCCCGTCTCGGCCTCCCAAAGTGCTGGGATTACAGGCTTGAGCCACCGCGCCCGGCCCCCTACAGTGAGTTGAAATCACACCATCGTACTCCAGCCCGGGCAACATGAATGAAACTCCATCTCAAAAAAAAAAAAAAACTCATGACACTATTACACAAAAAAGACATTAGAAAGTCTCTTCCCTTAAACTCACCATCTGGTATGCGTTTGTTTTTATGCTGATATTTTTAACTGAGGGGTACTGTTCACACTTATCACACAAGGAAGAATATAAACTAACATTTGTTTATTTATATATGTATATTGTTTCTGGCATGAAAATTCCCAGAGCAAAGCTCAGCACTCATAAAGCTTGGTTTCTGATGTAATCTGACAGCATCAGAGAGAAAATGAGAGACTGATATAATTTAAATTTTTCTTTCAGTCACAAGATTTTAAACCATACAGTGTATACATATACTTATCACATGTTATATGGAACAGACACTCTGATAAAATGATGTTTTAACCTGACAGTGTCTCTAGTAATCTAACTAAAAACAAGAAATCAGGAGGTCAAGTGAAATTCTTGTGCTGCCTTTGGAGGAATTTTCTCTTGATCAATTTAACCCACATTGGAATTAATTAAAACAATCCCTCTCAACTCCTGTACTTATTGCACTGTTAAATACTTTTCTTTTTGCCTCTAATTTTAACCAACATTTCCTTTACTTTTCCTAACCCCTATTTTTCTTTCAGTCCAAACAGCACCTGCTCTATGAAAATTTCCCTGAGCTCTCTTAGAAGTTGTTTCTCCACTTGTTTCCTCTTCTGAGCTCTCAAGTCTTTTGTGCTTATTTTATTATAATAATTACACCACGACAATTCTTTGTTTACATGCCTTTCTTCTTCCTAGATGGTAAACTTCATGGAGGTAGGAATTGTTTCCTATTTATTTTTTACATGTCTGGTATGACAGGTATCTCTGCCTCCATTCTCTTCTCTCTCATTATCAACACCTAAATTTCATTTGGAGTGGCAACATGCCTATAACAGAGACTGCTAGCTATTTCCTACCTGCCTTCCTTTTTGCTACATGAAATGCACAGGTAATGGGTGGAGGTCCAAAAGCCACCTTGTAGGCTGAGCATGGTGGCTCATGCTTATAATCCCAGTACTTTTGGAGACTGGGGTAGGAGGATCAATTGAGCCCAGGAGTCCAAGTCCAGCATGGGCAACATAGTGAGACCCTGTCTCTACGAAAATTAAACAAAACAAAACAAAAAAGGCCGGCCATGGCGTTGTAATCTGGAAGAATCATGAGAGAGCAGGGTAAACTATTTCATTCCTTATGGCAAACTAATTTACATGTACAAGAAAATGGTCTCTCAGTTCAAAGACAAACACAACTGAGAACAGAGAGGTGAGCTATGCAGCTCCATTCAGAGGATAGGTTACTGTGGTCCCAGCTACCTGGGAGGCTGAAGTAAGAAGACTGCTTGAACCCAGGAGGTTGAGGCTGCAGTAGGCCATGATACTGCCACTGCACTCCAGGCTGGGTTACAGAGTGTGACCTTGTCTTAAAACAAAACAAAACAAAAAGCCAACTTGTAAGCATAAGGACAAAGGCAACATCCCAGGGGGATAGAAGGTAAAACTGGAAGAAAAAGCTGACATCATAGGACCACCATTCCAGCCCTATGCTAACTCTAAACTCTGCATATTGTGATAGAAAATTAAGCACTTGTTAAATCCACTATTTTTCATATATCTGTCACTATCAACTAAACATATTCCGTACTAATATACATAGGTATTCAGTAACTATTCCATAAAGCCTTGTATGAATAAAGTTTGCTAAAAACTAAACAAGGAACTTATACAGGATTACATACTCTCTAAGCATGTCTAAATACTTATTGACTACCATGAGTCTCTGCTCTTTTCTACATGAGAAAGGCCATAACAGTTCCTCCAAGGCTAGAAAGACAGTAGCACAGAGGACAATGCCTTTACCCACTGATACTATGACATGAATACTCACTGGAAGGATTTCACCTGAAAGGTGAGATCCTTATGAATCTCTGTCCATAATGTCCATTGGAATCAAGGGGAAAATAGTTTCTATAAAGTTAGGAGAAAGACAGTCAACTGTCCTTAAATACTAATGAAAACAAAAAGAGAGCTTAAAATAGCCTAACGGTACTTCAGTAATTTAAGTAATGCTGCCACCATGTGGCACTTACTCCCTTCTTTTACAAATAAAATTTTATAAAGAAAAAGCTAATTGTTGCCATATACCTTAAGGTTTTTAAACATATAAACAACTTCAGCTTTAAGTGCTAGCCAGTTTTTCTTAAAGTAAACAATATTCAAACGGCACAGAAAAGACGAAACTTCCAGGAGGTACCAGCAGCTCTGCTTCGCCGCTCTTCTCTATCTAACCATGCCGCTTTGGGCAAAGACCACATTTATTCATTATCTGATATCATTGTTTCGGCCAAGATAGAAAAGAAGTACAAATAATGCAGATGTATATTCAAACCTAAAGCCTCTGAAACACGTTGAGCTTTTTCCCTCTAATCTGAGAGGAGAGTATAACAGACAGAAAAGGCATTTGAGCCTGAGGTTCTACGCTACACTAAACCCTCAGGAAGACCAATGAGGGAGGGAAGACCAATTGCTCTTGTGTTGGTCACTGTGTGAAAAGACTGGATCAAGCACTTTTCAAAAAAAGCAACTCAAACTTAGCTGATAAAATGTTCTTGAGCCCTTCAGAGATCATTCTTCAAAAATAAAGACCATTCTTCAAAGCACTGTAAGAATGAAGGGTGGGACTATGTCTGTCTTATTCACTGGTAAATCATTACTTCCTGATATTATGCCTCACATAAAATAAGTGCTCAACACATTTTGTTTGACTTTATATAATCAGCTGTTACTATAAGCTGTTTTGACCTGTTAAATTTGTAGTAATTTATTACATAGACTTAGAAAATGAATACAGTGCTATATACAGAAGTAAATTAGGGTGACATGATAGAGTGTACTGATGACGGCCTTGGACTAAAGGGCTGGAGGTGATATTTAACCTGCAATCTAAACCAAAAATAATGAGTCCTGCGAAAAATGAGAAGTAGCAGCATCTTAGGAAGATGGAATTGCTGATGCTTAACAATAGTGATGTGTTAATGAAAAAGAAAGGAAGAATTGTGGCTGAAACACAAGGAGTGAAGAGTTGTATACAATAAAGTCGGAAAGACAAGGAGAGGTCAAAGATCATCTAGGATTTTTAAGAACAGCCAAGATTTGTAGGCAGCACGGTAAAGGAATAGTCTCTGGATAATTTCCTGTGTCTCCCACATTATTCTTATTCATAATAATAAATAATGATGACAAATAAATAAATATCAAAAAGATAAAAAAGACTTAATTTTTTTTAATGATGACGATATGGTATAATCAGATTGTGGGAACTTACTGCTTAATGAACAATGAACCAATTATGTACATTAATTAACATATTAACTAAACCAATTATACACATTAACATACATGTTACTTAACGTGTATAATTAACTTGGTTATGTACCTAGTTAATTCCTAGGTACCAGACAATATTCTAAAATGCACATATCCTGTAAAGTATTACACAGTTTTTGAGTCACAGCATCTTTTGCACCCAGAAATGGTTATCTAATGCAACAGCTCTGGCCCTCTAGGTAGAGTGCTCTGTACCAACTGGGTTTATTAAAAGGTTCTCTCCTTTTGGCATGTTTGCACATCCTGATTGGTCAGTCTCAAAAAAACTGAAACTTACACAGAATTACAAAATTGTTTGTGTAACACCATTTACCATCCCAACGGTAGTTTGAGAAGTTACCACTTAAAGCACAATAAACCAATTATACATGTACAAAGCTACCGTAATATGAAACAAGATGGCATGTTCGTGCATCACTGTCACTGAAACATAGTATGTAAGGTAGAGTGGCAGGTGGTTAAGCTAGAAAAGCAGAAGCCAGGTCACAGAACAATGCTTGGACTTTATCCTGAAGACAGAAATATTATCAAAGGTTTTAAAAAGTGAAATAATGTTAGATTCCCCTGGCAGCAGGGTGAAAACTAATTTGACTTGGTTGATAAAGCAGGCAAACCTGTCAGAAAGAATGGACATTTATGAGGTAAACATCTAGGTAACGTCTAAAAGATGTGGTCACTGAATGTGGAACCTATAAGAAAGGAAATAGCCAAGGATAATTCTCAAGTTTTAATTTGACTGCTTGAATGATTGGTGATGTCTCAATTGAGGAAAAAAAATACAGAAAATGAGTCTGGAAAACTCAGACCCATCAATCTCTAAAATCCCTTTTTTTTTCACTGTATCTCATTTTATAGATTTAAAAATCCTGAGATCGACAGATATTAAATGCCCCAGAGTAGGCACCAGAACTTATGTCTCCTGCTGTTTAGTATGGAATTTATCCCATTAAAAACAACAATTTTTACCTCTTCATCATTTTTACTTTGTATATTTTATGAACACATGAACTAAAATCAGATTTTAAAACTGGGGAATTTCTCTTCTGTATAATAACACACTAACAATTAGGGAAGTACTTTTATAAAATAAGTTTAAATACTCACTTCAAACTCTTTTACAAAATAACGAGTTTCACCTTGAATAACTGGTCTGTGATCCAAAAGCCTTGAATGAATTTCTCCAAGATCTGTAAAGATAAAATGAAATTCAGGGTTAATCCATGCTAAATGGCATCATCTCTAGCTTGTTTTACTCTCTGTCTTCCCCACCAAGAGATGAAGGTTAAAATCCAGTTTAGACTACGGACTAAGAGGAAATCTCATCCACTGCCAGTGGATGCGTGCACTGATGCAACTGCTTTTGAGAACAATCTTTCAGTATCTAATAAAGTTGAAGACATGTATACCTAGCATTTTCATGCCTAGGTATGTAGCCTAGAAAACTCTTGCACAAATTAATAAGGCCATTTATACATATTTATTACAGCATAGGTGTAATATCAAAAGAAAAAACGGGAAACACCTTAACCATACTCATATAATGGAATTCTATGAATCACCAAATAAAAATAAATACATCAGTTAACACTTATCAACATAAATATAATAAAAAATATAATACGTATTTGATAATAAATATAATAAAAAGCAAGTTTCAGGAGGATTAAAGCCACTTACATAAACCTTTAAAAATATTCAAAATATTTCCTTTTGGGATAGAGATAGAAGCCACAAAACTATAAAGAAATGCGCAAGAATAATAAACATCAAATTCTGAATGGTGGCTACCTTGAGAGGGGGGAGGGGAATGAGTGCAATTAGAGCAAGACACAGTGGGGCTTTTAGTAATTTATTTATCACGGTGGATGGTGAATGTTCACTGTAAGTCTCTTTTTCATAAGTCTGAAAAAGTCATTAAGAAGGTCTGAATTTAAGTCTTTTGGTGACTCAATTTATTATTCTTCTTAGTTACAGCTATGCAGTTTAAAATGCAAATCTCAAAATTCCTTGAGAAATTAAAGTAAGAAGATGTGGTATTCATGTTCATTCACTGGCAATGTTCCCCAAATTTTTCATTTTTGCAGACATACGATGGGCAGATTTCAATTCTCTATTTTAATGAATTTTATTAGGACATATCTTCTTAAGCAGGTCAAGTAGAAAAAATACGAATACAAGCACTGTATATAAGCACCGTATATATCTGGTACATATAAAGAACTACAATTCAACTGTCAAAGACTTTCCCGCAGGAAACAGCGTTGTGAGCTTTAGGAGTCAAACCTAATGCAGGTTCTGTGAGAATCTAGGTTGTAACCTTCTCCCAGCTCAAAGCACACAGGACACACGGACATTTCTGAAGATGAATGGTTCTTTACGGTGCTATAGGGCGCTTTCGTAAGTGTATCTCACTTACTCCTCGCACGACCAGGAACAGATCGGGGAGGAGAGTGGGTAAAGCCAATGACCCGAAGTCACTCAACTCCTAAGCGACTGCCCCCGCCTCCCAAGTCCAACGCCCTTTTCACTATACGTCGGTCACGAGGCTGCCCAAAGGCTCTGCGCCCCGGGGTCCTGAGCTTGCGGAATGGACAGGGGCGGGCCTGATGGTTCAGGCTGCGGCAGAGGAAAGCGGGGAAACACGAGGAGTTGGGCTGGTTGGTTGCAGTGGGACGCATTTGGAGCGGGGAAAAAGAAGGGAACCAACCACGACGCCCCCACCCGCACAAACGCACGCGCGCCAGCCCGGGAGCCGGGGGTCGGCCCGGGTCAGAGGGCGCCGCCTGGGAGGTGAGGCTGTGCTAGGAACCACCAGGGACTATAGCCCTGACACTCCGTACCCTTGATAATGAGGTGCGCTGAGCCTGCAGTCCCCAGGGAGTCCCTCTTCTTGCTGCCACCGCCCAGGGCGGCCTCACAACCCACAGGGGTCTCTGTCCCTCCGCCACTCATCCCGACCAGTTCCGCCCACCCGCGGCCGCGCTGCGCCTGCGCAAACCTGGCCGCCCTCTTTCAAGGCGCGCTCGGGGTTTTTTTTGCGTCATCACAGGGCGCCGGAGAAATGTAATCTATTCAGCGGGCGGTGCCGGAAAGGCGTCTGCCGTGTAGTCAGGGTGTTAACTGGCAGAAGCTCTTGCCGCCATGCTGGATCAGGGCGGATGCTGCTGGAATAGGAAGGTGCTTGAACGTTGGAGCTAAACTCAGAGCCCTGGTTATTTGGCTCAAGGCTGATGCATTCCAATGCAGTTGCCACCTATATCTGCTGAGAATACATTCCAAGACCCCCAGTAGATTCCTGAAACTTCATATAGTACTGAACCATGTATATACTATGTTTTTTCCTGTATATACATATGATAAAGTTTAATTTATAAATTAGGCACAGTAAGAGATGAACAATTAGAACAAATTAATGAAAGTTATGTGAATGTAGTCTCTCTCTCTCAAAATATCTTATTGTACTGTCCTGCAGGTAATGAAACCGCAGAAAGTGAAACCTCAGATAAGGAGGGACTATTGTATAGCAAAGTCAATCAGTTGGGGGCTGTTTCTCTACTATGCCATGAGTGTGGCAGACTATTCCTGCCTTTCTTTTTAGACAGAAAACTGTTTCCTAGAATGCTTTTCTTGCTCCCTCTGCCTATTCAAGTCAGTAAACTTATGCTGTATAATAAAGAATTTGACTGGACTTTGACTCTGGTTCCTGGGAGGTACCCTCAATCCTTGGAATTTCCCAGGTGATAGAATTGTCTTTGTTATTCATGCCGGGCCTCTGGGAATGCACCTGAGTTTATGCTAATGAGGTGACTCATGGAGGGCCCAAGATGATTTCAGAATGGAGGTTGGCCACGCCAGAAGGGCCGGCCAACCATGAGGGCTTAGGCTTTGAGCCACATAAACAGGCCCACCTCTGGGGAGCCGAGGGAGGCTGGAGACTGAGTTCAGCCATGTGGCCAATGATTTAATCAACTATGCCTACATGATGGAACCCCAATGAGTACTCTGGACATGGAAGCTCAGGTGAGCTTACTGGTTGGTAATCATTCATCAAAGTGCCAGGAGGGTGAAGCGTTCCTGAGGACACGTAAGCTTCTATTTGGGAAATCTCCCATATCTCGCCCTATGCATCTCTTCATTTGACTGGTCCTGATATGTGTCATTTATAATAAAACTGTAATAGTAAGGAGAGCACTTTCTTGAGTTCTATGAGTCATTCTGTGAAACCTGAGGGAGTAAAGTGAATAGCAATGAAACATCATGTGTAGAGAGAAGCTGCATGGGTGAGAACTGAGGCACCCTAGCAGACAGTGCTCGGGCCCTGGGCATATGACAGAGACAGCTGGTCAGAAATGCAGGTGGCCTGGGAACCCCAGAGCTTGTGGCAGGTGTCTGAAGGGGAGTCTTGAGGAGGAACATGCTTTGATCTCTGAAGTCTGTGCTAACTTTGGATAGCACTGCGGTTTAACAAACACTTACATGGCACTTGCTACATGCCAGGTAATACTGTAAGTGGTCTACAAATTTGCATTCGTTTAATCCTCATGGCTGGCCTTTGAAGTCATTATTATTATTGTCCTCATTTTACAGATGAGGAGGCTGAGGCACAGAGAGGTTAAATGACTGCCTGACTTGTATGTGGCAGAAACAACTGACTCTGTGTATGTGTTTAAGTATAGGTGGTGGGTGAAGAGAGAATGGGGAAGGGAGATTTGGAGAGAAGGAAGAGAGAAGCCATATTAACTTTAACAGGCCACATGGGCTTTTCATTTTATCATTCAAAACATTTAACAAATACTTTATTGAGCAGCTGCTATGTGCCCAGCACAGTGCTAGGAACTAAGATATAGTGGTGAACAAGACTGATGCAGCCTTTTCCCTTCCTCATGGAGCCTACAGGGGCGCCAACACTGAATAAGTACACAATTACTTTTCTGCAAGTCTGTTGCTTGTAGCCTGTGAATATGTGTTCTAGCCATTTGATTATACACTATTGAGTTGTATTGTTCTCTGCGATGGTGAGGTCCAGCATATGCCTCTGTTCTCTCTCTGCTTTTACAGAAATCTTTACACTGCAGCTCAGACAGCTAGGAGACTGAGAAGCAACACTGGCAGTGCCATTTCACCTGGCACATTCAGCTGCTATGAGTGTGTCCTTGGGCTTTAAACCATGAAATCTCAAGTTTTGGGACTCTTATCCTCTCCCTGAAGGTCTTGTATTATCTCTTATTGTCTCTGGATTGACGAGACTTTTCTTGGATTTTTTAATGAAATTTGTGTTGAGATATTTGTAGATTCTCATGCAGTTGTAAGAAATAATAGAGTTTCCTTTTACACTTTGCCTAGTTTCCCCCAGTGGTAACATTTTGCAAATGCTAATATTACAACCAGGATATTGACATTGATACAATCCACCAATGTGATTCAGATTTCACCAATTTTCCTTGTATTCATTGTGCGTGTATATGTTTAAGTTTATGCAATTTTATTATGTGTAGGTTGATGCATCTATCATTACAGTCAACATACTGACCAGTTCCAGTGCCGTAAAGATCCCGTTAAGGTTCCTGTTTATAACCACAGTTACCTTTCTCCCTGTCCCCACCCTGACTTCTGGTAACCTATCATCTGTCCTCTATTTCTAAAAATTTTTTCACCTCAAAAATATTATAGAAATGAAATCATACATTAAGTACCTTTACATTTTTAAGAATAGCTGTACTCACATCATAACCTCTATACAAGATTGGAGAATCGATATCATATACAAATATAACCATGGGATTATAAAGGGATTTTTCCAATTACTCTACTTTTTGAGAGTCAAGACATCTAAATCATGGAGATATTGTCAATTTAGTAGAAGTAAAGTTCTGACTTTGGGGATAATTATTTGCTGTAATCCCATATTGAATCTTGTGAAAATTAAAAAAATAAATGAGTAATTACATGTATACAATGAATAAAATTATAATTTATTCCTTAGTATAAGCCCATCAAGGGGAACCATAATCGGCACAGGGTGGGAGATGGAGGGACTCCTAAGTTTATTTTGTGTTCTATCAAATCCACTCCACGAGATTTCCTCTGCAACATCTATTGACATTATTTCTTATCTTCATTTGTCTAACCTAATTTAGAAATGGGTTAAAAAATAAAAAATAATGCAAAAACTGATTAAGGCAAAGGAGGAGAAAAGAGTAGGTGGTCTTGCTGTTCGCGGTGGCTTATGCCTGTAATCCCAGCACTTTGGGAGGCTGAGGCAGGCGGATCACCTGAAGTAGGGAGTTCAAGACCAGTCTGACCAACATGGAGAAACCCTGTCTCTACTAAAAATACAAAATTAGCTGGGCATGGTGGCACATGCCTGTAATCCCAACTACTCGGGAGGCTGAGGCAGGAGAATCTTTTGAACCTGGGAGGTGGAGGTTGCGGTGAGATGAGATTGCACCATTAATCTCCAGCCTGGGCAACAGGAGCAAAACTCTGTCTCAAAACAAAAACAACAACAACAAAAAAGAGCAGGTGGTCTTTTTGGGTGAGGTACTAAATATTACTGTGTAGCAATCTCATAAAGTTTTGGAAATGCGGCCGGGTGCGGTGGCTCACACCTGTAATCCCAGCAGTTTGGGAGGCTGAGGCGGGTGGATCACCTGAGGTCAGGAGTTCAAGACCAGCCTGACCAACATGGTGAAACCCCTCTCTACTAAAAATGCAAAAAAACTTTAGTATTAGCACCGTGTGTGGTGGCAAACACCTGTAATCCCAGCTCTTCGGGAGGCTGAGGCAGGAGAATCGCTCAAACCTGGGAGGCAGAGGTTGCAGTGAGCTGAGATTGCACCACTGCAGCGCAGCCTGGGCAACAGAGCAAGACTCTGTCTCAAAAAAAAAAAAAGGTTTTGGAAATGCTTAGGGCACACTGGGCATGAAAGCCAGTTTACTGTGAGGTAACATGCTTTGTATTAGCATTAGCGGTCTTTTAGGCTGAAGCAACTTTATAATCCAGTACTGAATCTTCCTGTACCAACTGCTGCTAGTAGTTCCCCCAGAGAAGCTTCTGGTGTAGCTCCACCATTCTGAGAACATTCAGGGCTTACTGCAAGAGCTACTAGAAAGTAACTGCTCCGGTGACAGAGCCAACCCACTGGAACACAGAATGCATTCCCTTCACCACCCTGGGCACACCTTCATTAAACTGGACTCAGCTGTGCAAAAAGACAAAAGCATGAGTTGTTGTGTACATGCAGCTAGCTCTGTGTATGCCTGTCACCTAAGCTTTGGACAGGTGTAGTGCAGTGGTTTGCATGGTATGGTCATCACAGCAGCAGTATTAGAATCCTCCTGAATCAGCAACTCAAATTGGATCCCAGAAATCTGTGCTTTGAGAAGCCCCAGGTGATTCCCATGCATGCTAAGGTCTGAGAACCAGTGCTTTATTGCAGTGTCTATTTCCTGTTCCCTCAGCATCTGATAATGAGAGTCAATGATAGAGTTCTTTTATCCAAGTGACAGTGCTCAAGTCAAATGGTGAAAGCGGTCAGGAACTGGAAACCTCATGAGGTCAGTCTGAGAGTTGAAAACTTCTAAGGGTTTTTAAGACAAGGTATGTGTGTTGCAGAAGGTCAGGAAAAATGGGGATGGGGAGAAGGAGAACTTACATTACATGAACAGACTAGTTCATAGACTGCACCAAAGCAGCTTTGGAATTTGTAATCAGGTGGCTGGAAGTTTCTCATCTTGCTCAAAGCAAGCCTGCGGCCTTATTGTTTAGAGCTACGTATGCCTTGTCAAATTGGTCATATGGCTACTGTATTTCAAGCTTAACTTGGATAGACAGGCCTGCCAGGCACAAATTTCTCAAGCTGATGATATTGGGGAGAACAAAAATTATCCACTGCAAGACTCCGAGGACAGATGACACCCAGCAGGAATGGCAAGCCAAATCTGCAGGAGCCATAATACTATTGGCTAGCCCTAGGGACCTGGCCTCTTTGAAGTGGAAGAGACAGTAC